TTTCTTTCTTTCTTTCTTTCTTTCTTTCTTTCTTTCTTTCTTTCTTTTTCTTTCTTTCTTTCTTTCTTTCTCTCTCTTTCTTTCTTTCTTTCTTCCTTTCTTTCTTTCTCTCTTATCTTAGCTCTCCTTTATCCTTTCCTTCCTTGTATTTTCCCGATGTCTTACCTCCCCTAACATTACTCTTTCCTGACTTATCCTCTCTTTTCTCTTTTTCTGAACCCTCCTGACTCCTCATTTGCTCCTCTTTCCATCTTTTCTTAGATTCAAGATGTCCTCAAGTGAGGCTGACATGACTTCTTAGAGAAGCAGCCACCCTCCATTCGCCAATACCCTACTCAGTCTCTTCATCCATCTTTGAGAGTTGATAAGTGAGAGGCAAGATGACTCGTCCATCAAAAGCAAAATTCCCTAAGGGATCTCATTGACTCAACTACCCCTCCTCCCAATACTCTACCCTCCTCACCTCCCTGATGATGAAAGAAAAAAAAGAAGGAAAGAAAGTTAAGATGAAACATGGGCAGCAGGTAAGAATAGCTCAGAGAAGATGGAAAAGCGCCTGCCAGAGGGAATCGGCCAGGTAATGAGAAGGGAGGGCAGAGGACAAGGGAGTTTGGTGGGGGGAACCAACTGACAGGCCATGGCGACAGCAAGGACAAGACTCTGCGTAGGAAGAAAGAGGCTAGCAGGGGCCCTGGAGCTGGCTGAGGGAGATGGGCAGCCTTGCAGATAGTCACATATCCCCTCAGGGTGGCACTAGGAGGGAAGAACTAAGCACCGATTTGATTGTTCTCTCTGGACAGGTCAGACTATATGTGGTTCATGGGTGGGATTGACAGAACAGACAGGTGAGCTGGGACCTTGTTGTGTTTATCTGCAAGGCTAGGCAATGGGCAGCTGCAGGAAGATGTGAGGGGTGGATGGGATACCCACCCTTGGGGAGGGGGGGCTTGTCAGCAGCTGGGGCTGGAGGCTCCTCTTGGGAAAAGGTGCCTCCTTCAGAAAAAGGTATGTGGGGGGCAGAAAGAGGCATGTGGCAGGCTGGGGGTCAGGAACCAGAAAGGTAACTATACTTTACTGGGATATCCCAGGGATGAGGCAGGTTTAGTCAATATATCCTCACACATATCAGGAAGGGAGAAACACCGAGCTGTGCATGGTCTCTGCGGAGAGGCAGAGCATCTCCCAGTCTGTTTGGAACAGTGAGGGAGGACAGATTGTTTAGAGACAGGAATCCTTTGACTATTGACTGTGAAATGAATGGAAATCTCTTCTGAGAAAGAGAGATGGAGGGCTTGAGAGACTCAAGGCAGCTTTCCATAGTAGGGGTATGGGCCTGTGGACCAGCAGAGTCAGATGATCTCTGCCCAGCAAGTTGGAAAAAGTCTTGTGATGCCAGACCCCAGGCTAGAATTTCCAGAGCAAATCCTTCAGGGCCCATGTTGCATTGAAAGAGTATTATTGGGACAAGGCGATGGCCAGATGCTACTGCTTCCCTATCCCTCTCTATCCTCCCTACTTCCAAGAAAGTACACGTTTTCCCACTAGCCACCTCACTTACCCCAGGAGAGTACTTTCCTTGGGAAAGGATATCCCAGGTGGGAAGGATAGCAAAACATCCAGGTGGAAAACTCTCATGTACAGTTTTCAGATAAAAACAGTGAGAAATTCTGACTTGGCCCCCTGCCTTCTCCTTCCTAGGGTAAATACTCTCTAAAGTGACAAAGTCCAATCCTTAAGCAATTGGCCCACAGGAGACTAAATCTACTTTTCTTCTGGAGGTAATTACTCATGGATGAGCACAGACTCCCTTCTCCTGGGGGTGGGAAGAAGGAAAAGGGATAGCCTAGAAGTGTCTAGAGAGTCAGGCAGTAGGAGAGTTTGAGAGAAGGACCTTTGGGTTCTATGGGAAAGTAAACATTCTGGGGCGGGGAGGAGGGCAGCAGTGGTAATGAATCTGCCTGCTCGGGAATTAGACTTGGTAGGAAGTGTCCTCATGGGAGAGCCTAGCAGCTCCATTTCCATGGAGTTAATCTGGGAGCTCAGCCCCGAGTGTCACATGTCTCGGGGGGGGGGAGGAAAAGGACAAAAACAGGTGGAAGATGCTTGTGGCTTAATTTAGCGTGGCAATAGTGGCATTACCCATGCTAGCAGTAACTTTTAATTGTATCTCTCGAAATTGGTAAAATGGTCAGTCGGGCTGGGGAGGCATTGATTAATACCTGAGAAGAGAAACAACAGAGAAGGTGAGAAGAACTGGATGGGGAGGTGGAGAGAGAATTACTCACCTCAGCAACGAGGCATCTACTTACCTCCACTGTGCTGTCCATCGTCTTCTCAGCAGCTTCCCTTTTGGTGGCTTTGAAAAGAAAGACCACTTGAGTTTTTAGCTAGTGTTGTAAGCCTCCATTCTCCCTCTTCCTTCAAAATACATTTGCAACTTGGCTTGCACAGGCAGCCAGAATCCATAGATGACCATGCCTGTAAGGGAGGCTATTCTGAAGACTCATTATACCATGGTGTGAGCTTGGGTCTGTGAAATTTATACAAGAGGAGGACAGGTTCTGGTTTTGATTGGGGGGTACAGGGGGGTGGAACAAGTGACATCAGAGGCCTGTCATCAGAGGACTGACCTAGATGAGGTGTATCACCAAGGAAGCTGGACACGAGGGAATATACTTCTTTGGCCACTGGAATTCATGAGCAATGTGCTAAGGCAAAGAAAGGTTGGGATCTGTTTGTGTAAAGAGAAGGGATTACCCACGTGGATGAAATATTGATATAAGTAAAAGACTCTTAATAATGTTAGTATATGATACACAGTCTATAAAGACAGGTTTTAAGTTTTGTCCTCTGAACACCAGCTTTGGGGTTGTATTTCTGTATATCTATCTCTGTATGTATGTTTATATGCAAACATACATACATACATACATCTATCCATCTATCCATCCATCTAGCTAGCTTTATCTATATATTTTATGTATCAGGTTAAAAGCTCACTGAAGAAAGGGGTGATATCTATTCTTTATTCTAACTCACAAGGGCCTACAAAATTTTTATGACCCTGCTGGGATCATATGCCTTGCTCATTTCTAATCTAACACTCCAGATAGGGGACCACTGACCACCAATGGCAGAGGAGAAGAAATCCTACGGGATAACATAGCTGAGTCTCTTGACCTTTTAACCTTCCAAATGGCCAATTTCCTCTCTTTGACTCTGTCCTTTTTTTCCCCCTCTGAAGAAGCATAAGGAACTATTCTGGTATTGGGTGAAGCACAAAGGAAAATTCCATTTCTAGGTAGGAGCTTGAGAGATGAATGAAAAGCTATCCTATGTGCCAGAACCACTGGACTCTTGTCTTTACTCCTCTATTGACTGGCAACAAAGCTCCATTCAGATGAGTCAGCTTTCCCTTCAGTAAAATGAAAATTTTTTCTCTCCTTCCTGTCAACTTAGAGCTCCTCATTAGAAAAGAGGAGTAAACTGGAGAGCAATTTGGAACTATGCCCAAAGGGCTATAAAACTGTGCATACCCTTTGACCCAATAATACCACTACTGGGTCTGTATCCCAAAAAGATCATAAAAATGGGAAAAGGATCCATCCATATGTACAAAAATATTTATAGCAGCTCTTTTTACAGTGGCAAAGAAATGGACATTGAGAGGATGCCCATCAGTTGGGGAACGGCTGCATAAGTTGTGGTATATAAATGTAATGGAATTCTATTGTGCTATAACAAATGATGAGCCGGCAAACTTCAGAAAAATCTGGAAAGACTTAAATGAACTGATGCTGAGCAGAACCAGGAGAACATGGTACACAATAACAGTCAAATTGTCTAATGACTAATTTTGATAGGCTTATCTCTTCTTAGCAATGCAAGGATCCAAGACAACTCCAAAAGACTCATGATGGAAAATGCTGTCCATATCCAGAAAAAGAACTATGGAATCTGAATGCAGATTAAAGTATATTATTTTCTCGCTCTTTTTTTTGTTTCTTCTTTCTTGTGTTTTCTTCCATTGGTTCTAATTCTTCTTTACAACATGACTAATGTGAAAATAGGTTTAATATGAATGTAATTATTGAGCCTATACATGCCATCTTGGGGTGGTGGGAGGGGATAGAATGGGGAGAAAATTTGAAACTCAAAATCTTATGGAAGTGAATGTTGAAAACTAAAAATAAATAAACAAATTTATTATTAAAAAGATGAAAAGAGGGATAAAAGGGCTTGAAATCCTTGAAGTCTTTGGAAAATTGGTGAAAAGGCTTAACCGCCTAGAATAGTAAAGCTGATAAATCAAAGATGAGGCAAGCTTAGGTAGGGTAGAAGGTATCTATCTCTATGAGGACACATTTCAGATTTAGTACTGAAATAACTATGTAGACAAACACTGAACCAAGGACCTAACACACAAGGCAAACCTACTGAAAACCAGGCTGTGCGCCTAATAAGAAAAGGATCTCAGGTCAGACTCAGTTATACCCAAAGACATTACCATGAGAGTCTCGATATAATAATAATTTTCAACCTTCAGATAGAAAAATGGTCCATATAGTAGCAACAGTTGAGTCAATTGTTATGCTCCTGTGATGACCATCTGCCTGGCTTAGTCTTCTGTCCACTACTCCAGATTAGGGCCTACTGACCACCATGGGAGAACAAAGGAAATCCCAGAGGACCAGGCAGCTGAATCTCCTTTTCAACCCAAGAATGGCCACCTTCCTCTCTCTGACTCTTGTCCTTTTTTCCTTCCATTTTCCCCCCTCTCCCCCATTTTCAAGCTATGCGATTCTGGGTAAGTTACTTCAAAGCAATCCAATCCAATAAGCATTTATACTTCATTTCTCTGAGACTTGGCTTCTATATAAGGGGGCTCATAAAACTCAAACCACCTACTTCACAAAATTGTTCGAAGGAAAAGTACTTTGTAAACCTTAAATCTCTATAAATGTCAGGTATTATTATGGAAGAATTCTAGGTAATTATTCTAGTTGTCTCAAGAGGTTTTAACCCTGTTTCTCTTCCTTATTCTCTTATTTGAAGTAGGTAAGGAGCAGGGAAAAAACTGTTTGTGCTGGCTGCTCATGGTGGCTTCTGATGGCCTATATATACAAGGGCGATGGGGAGAAGGGAACTGGGTCAGGGACAGAGGGGAAAAACCAACACAAAACCTGCACTGACCTGAATTAGTGGGACTGAATGATTTGGGGAAACATTTTAAAAATTGTGTTAAGGGGTCATCTGGAAAGTGTGATGCCAAATGTGCCAAAATATAGAAGAGGCAAGTTAACCTGAGTTCTCTCTTTTTTTTCCCTTTTGCCTCTCTACAGATGAGAAAACCAAGAATATCATGTTATTTAACTTGTGAGAGAATGCACAGCTGGGGTACTCAAAATGAATGGGAGATCAGGACACCTGTCTGATTCTTGCCTCCTTTCCTTAAGCCACCAAACTAGGTGGGGTTTCTAAAAGGTGGAGTTCTCCTGGGGTTTCTAAGAGAATTTCTTTGGCCTTGGAGTCAGAAGGACCTGAGTTCAAATTCAGCCTCAGACACTTAATACTTACTAGCTGTGTGACCTTGGGCAAGTCATTTAACCCCGATCGCCTCACCAAAAAGCAAAAAAAAAAAAAAAAAAAAAAAGAGTTTCATTGTTTTGGCCCGAATAACTTCACCAATTCACTATGCGCACTGTTGTTTTTCAAAAAGCCTGAAAAAGACACCTTAGGTAACAGAAGAGCTGGGCCATTGCTTTCCTCCATTGACTGGTAATGAAACCTCGTTCAAAAGAGTCAGCATTTGGGGTCTCAGTTTTCCTTTCACCAAAATGGGAATTTAAGGGGCAGCTAGGTGGCACAGTAGATAGAGCACCAGCCCTGGATTCAGGAGGACCTGAGTTCAAATCCGGCCTCAGACACATAACACTTACTAGCTGTGTGACCCTGGGCAAGTCATTTAACCCCATTGTCTAGTCAAAAAAAAATTTTTTTTAAATAAAATAAAATGGGAATTTGTTTCCTCCACTTTCTGTGAGCTTGGAGCTCTTCATTAGAAAGGGGCAATGAGAAACCTGGAGACTACTTCTTTCAAAATAATCACCAGGAAACCAAAGCCATTGTTCTTGATGGGAGCCCTCATACGGTTCAAAGTTCTGGGATTTTCCTGTACCTAGGTGGGGGTGCTAAGAGTTCGAAGGATGTCTTGCCTTGGATGGCTAAGACACTGAGCAGCTGCTTACCTGTAGGAGATCCTTGCTTTGACTGTGGGTCAGGCTGAGTTCCACTGGACTTAAATGAAAGAGTCTTGGTTCCCTGCTGTTTCTCTAGCTCCCCTGGGGGATGGAAGAACAGAGTGAAAAGAGAGAAAACGAGAGACAGAGGTTGGGAAGAGATGGAAAGGGAAAACATATTGGGAATGGGGAGGAGGAAGGGGGCAGCAGCATCCCAAACAGAGCCACGAGAAACAAAAAATGAGCTCAGGGCTGGGAAGGGGACACCAGAGGTGATCAGGCTTCCTAGACCTGCTTCTCCAGCCTGAGCTGAACTGAACACCTCCCAACTTGTTAAGAATTCAGTCCCCAGGACTAGCATGGCCAAAATCAGGCCAAGTACCTCTAACTGCCAGAGAATTAAAGGATATTAGGATCAATGATGCTGTTTTTGAATTCTCCCTGACCCCAAACATATATATATATATGTATATATATTTAATGAAGTTTTTTTCCCATAAAGAATCAATTTAGTCATTTTTTTTTCAGTTGTGCCTGACTCTTTGTGACTCTACCGTATTTTCTTAGCAAAGATACTGGAGTGGTTTGCCATTTGCTTCTCCAGCTCATTTTACAGATAAGGAAACTGAGGCAAACAGGGTTAAGTGACTTGCCCGGGATCACACAGCTCAGTAATCTGAGGCCAGATTTGAACTCAGGGAAATGAGTCTTCCTGACTCCAGGCCTGGTGCTCTATCCACTATACCACCTAGCTACTCCTTTTCAAAGAATTGTTCTGTTTGATTATAAGACATTTTTTTCTCAATTATCTCCTTTTTTTAATCTCTCCTTGGTTCCTTTTTCCTTATCTTTTTCTTTGACTTTTCTTGTCTTTTCTCTTATCTTCCCTGTTACTGCCAAACACTTTTCCTTACTCATTTGCTCTTTGCATTATCTGAATAAGATGGTTAGCACCTTATAAACAGATTCTAATAATATCTATGCTTTTATATTTTCTAGAGAGATTTTACTGTTGATTAGGGAAGCAGAGGGGAGCTAGGGTTCCACCAGAGACCTGCTTTAATGCCTCAACATGAAATGTGTCTGTGGGGGTACAAGCTTTCAGGTACCATACAGCCAGAAAAATCCAGTGATGGACTGTGTGTCTGTCATCCAAGGCCCAGCCTGGCTAAATTTGAAGAGGTTCATGACAAGGAGGTTAGCCACTGGACAACAAACATTTTTAGCCTGAGATAGACAGACAGAAATACACACACAGATGTGTGTACGAACATACATGTATTTGCAAATACATATGCAACCACATGCAAGTTTATATACACATGTACATCTATACAAGGACATGACTCATGAGGACTGTTCATTAAGGTGTTTTAGTAGAGGGATTGTGATCTCCATTAGTCAAGGGAGAATCCATACTGATTAAATCATGGACTTTTTGAAGTGCTGAAATAAGTGTCTGTTTCTCAGTCCTTTCTTAAACAATACTGGTTGCATTTAGCACCATCAGGCCCAGGAAGTTTTGTGTAGGGGACATTTAAATAGTTTCTATTACATTTGCTATGCTTTATTCAGATCAGAATAGAACCTGTGCAGAGGTGGTATTTTTCTCAGGGGAAGAATATCTGAAAGGAATATGTTTTTGTTTTTTGTTTTTTCTGAATAGACCTGTAGAAATGAATCCTAGAAAGGAAATTTTAATGAATAAATTTCAGAAACAAAAATTAATATAAGCTGATAAAATTTAATTTTTAATGCATTTTCTTTTACTTTTCTCTTAAAAATTTTACTTATTTTCTGAGGAATTTTCTAGAGTAAAAAGTTCATCTGCCTATTGTGAATGTCAGATAAACAATGCTGGAGAGAATCAGAACACAGATTCAGAGAAGCAGAGCAACAGATATCATCCCTAAAGAAGTAACACAATTGGAGAAGAGGGAACAAGTCTTTTTTAGAATTTAGAAAATTTTCTAAATTTTAGAAATTTAGAATTTAGAAATATTTCCGTTCAGTTGGCTATACCACAGACATGAAGTATATTTTTATCTGTAGTATTCATGTTTCTTTACTTAATTAAATTATCTTTAGTTATGTTTCTTTTTCCTTAAGAGACATATGTAATGTATTACCATACTTAGACTACAAAATTTAACAAATGGACATTCATGCCTGGCTGGCTGACTGTGTTTATGTTTCTTAAATAAAAAATAATTAGTGAATCACTTTCAACTAGGAACTAAACATAACTTTTACATTGAACTGGAATATAAAAATATCATGCCAGCTGTGCCAGAATCAAATGAATTCTTTATTTGGTTGGGGTTCCTTACTTAAATCTAGGTTAAAATCCTAGTTCTATCTCTTATTTGCTGTGTGGTCTTAGGTAATTTATTTAAGCTCTGTGAAGCTCATTTTTCTCATACTCAGGCTACTACTTAAAGGGTTGTGGTTATATAATGCATGTGAATGCCCTTTATGACAAACTATGTGAGTATTATTATTCATTAAGCATGTATACACATGTATATGCTTGAGAAAGGAAGAAATAAGCAGTGTAATGGTTTATTGTCCACAACCTCCTACTTTTTTTTTTTTTTTGGCTAGGCAATCGGGGTTAAGTGACTTGCCCAGAGTCACACAGCTAGTAAGTGTCAAGTGTCTGAGGCTAGATTTAAACTCAGGTCCTCCTGACTCCAAGGCCTGAGAGCTATCCACTGTGCCACCTAGCTGCCCCCTACCTCCTACTTTCTAGACTGCTGTTGGGGTGGGATGCAAAGAGATGCAAAGAGAAAGGGAAGGCAGGAGGGGTCATGTGGGAGGATATGGGGGGTGGGGTGGAGGTACAAAGCTAAAGTTACCAAAAGAACAAGAGTCCACGCCCTCCTGGAAGAATCTCTCTCTCTTTTTTCTTTCTCTCTCTTTCTCTCTGTCTCTCTCCTCCTTCCTTCTTTCTCTTTCTCTTTCCCTCTTTCTCCTTCCCCTTCTTTCTCCCCACACCTCCCCCCCAAAAAACTCCTTCCTTTCTTCCTCTCCCCTCTCCCTGTGTAGTCTAGGAATGCATTGGCAGCCTTACATTCAATTCGGATCTGCTCCAGCTCTGTGACCTCAGCAATGGATTCTTTCAAGTCTTCCACAAACTTCTGCATCTCCTCTGAGCCCAGGGCACAGAAATGCAACACCTGCTTCTTTTCTGAACCTGACACTGGCGTTACCAGCGTAATGCCATGGGAATGATCTGGAAAATGAATATAGGAACACCCAGGTGGAATGAGAAAGGAAAACAGGAAGCCTAGGCCCGGGGCAGACAGTGAGACCAGGCCTTTGCCCTCTGCCCTCTAAAGCAGTCTCATGAATTACCCTCCCTTCCTCTTCCCCTACACATCCCCTGAGATTATCACCCACTCTCATCATCTCTGGCTGTGAGACAGACTTACATTCATTCTCAAAAAGGTGGAACTGCATCCCTAGCAGGCCCACGGACTTGCAGAAAGTATACGTGGAGGAAGTCTTCTTCTTCGGGCAAAGCTTGAGGATCTGCCCAAGAAAGAATTCAGAGAGACACACACACACACACACACACACACACACACACACACACAGAGCATGTAAATATAAATGCGGATGTACGTATACATTTATACAATAATGCCGGTATGCACATAACACCCAGATACCCAGACGTATATACAGATACACACATAAAAATAAATATGCACATATACACAGAAGCACGTAAGTGAGTACACACACACATACACACAGAGGTACCAAAGTTAGCCTCTCCTCAAGGCCCAAGCCATCTTCCCAGCCCCACTATTGATTAGGATGTGAGGCCTTTACACGCCTCTTCCTTCTTCCGTATCTAAATTTCTTTATTGATAATAATGGTTGGGACACTTTCATGAACTAGAAGGAGAACAGGGCTGGCAATTGAGCTTGAGAGAAAATTCCTCCTTCAAGTTGGAGAAATAGATCTCATCTGGTTCCTCAGAGGCCTCCTTTCCCCAAGGAAGGCCGGCTACAATATGACCTCTTATCACAGAATTCTCGAGTTTCAGAGGTCGAAGAGACTGTAGGTCATTTATTCTAATAGCTGGTATGGGGTGTTTCAAAAGAACTGTCTATCACTGCAGGTCTTCAGTTGGCAGGTGGATGACCACTTATTGGGTTAGTGGTAATTCCTGGTTAGGTCCATATAGGAATTCCCATAAGACTTCCCCAACAAGCAGCCGTCCAGTCTGTGATTGAAGACCAGCAGTGATGGAGAACTCTTCAACTCCCGAGGCAGCTCATACCACTTTCTGAGAGTTTTAAATGTTGGAAACTTTTTATATGTACCTATGCCAATACTCAGTTACATGTATGTATACACATATAGAGTAACATGGTATAGTAGATAGAACACAAAGAGGGTGAGAAAGGAAGGGAAAATGAGAGAATAAAAGGGAGAAGAGAAGAAAGAGTAAGAAGGGAGAGAGAATGAGAAAGAGAAGAGAGAATAAAGAGAGTGAAGAGAGAGAGAAAGAGAGAGAGAGAGAGAGATGAAGGGAAAGAGAGAGGAACAGAAGGGGGAGAGAGAGAGAAAGAGAGAGAGATATGAAGGGAGAGAGAGAGACAGAGAGAGAGAAAGGGAGAGAGAGAGAGAGAGAGAGAGAGATGAAGGGAAAGGGAGAGGGACAGACAGACAGACAGAGAAGGAGAGAGATGAAGGGAAAGGGAGAGGGACAGAAGGGGAGAAAGAGAGAGAGAGTAGGAGAGAGAGAGAGAGAGAGAGTGGGAGAGCCCTGCTGAGTGATGACCTAGCCCTCCCAGCCCCAGGCATTCTCACCACCAGCAGGTCATTGAAGAGGAACACCTCCCTTTGGTGAGCTGCTTGCTTCTGTAGCTTGTTCACGTCAGTCACCTCAAAGAGCCGGCTGCAGCAAACCAGGCGGCGGTGTGGGACTGACAGCACCTGAGCAGAGAGAGGATAGAAGGGCATCAGACTGAGGATGGTGGGAGGGAAGAGGGGGAAGGAATGCGCCCTGACCACAAACTCAGCCTCACAGAATATTAGAGCTAGAAGGGACCTTCAGATCATTTCTTCCAACTCTCTCATTTTAAAGGTGGGAAAATTGAGACCCTGAAAGGTTAAATGATTTGTCCAAAGCCACAAACATAGTAGGGAGCCAAGATCTGAGCTTTGAGTCTTTTGACTCCAACACAGCATTCTTTCCACTTTGCCATATTCAACCCTCTGGAAGTCAAATGCCTCCACTGTGGAGCTTGGGGTGAAGAATTTACTGAGGGAAGACAGCTTGGGTGAAAAGAGGAACTTTAAAAAGCAGAGAATAGAGCAGAGGAGGAGGGCACGTGTCCTTTTTCTGATTAACCTATGCACCACAGAACATAGAATCACAGAATGTTAGAGGTAGAAAGACTACAAAGGTCACATAGTTCAATCTCTTCATTTGATAGATGAAGACACAGAGGCAAAGTGACTTGCCCAAGGTCACATGGCTAATTAGTGGCTAAACTGGGATTAAAACTCATGTTGGTGACCTCTCCACTCCACCAAATGGAGGATCACATGATCGTAGATTTTAGAGCTGGAAAGGACCCAATTGGTCCTCTAGCCTAACTCTCTCATTTAATACGCACTTAACCTCTGACCACCATGGTTTCCTCAACTGTAAAGTTGGGAATAGTAAAAGCATCCACCTCCCAGGTTTGTTGTGAAGAACAGATGAGATAATATTTGTAAAGCATTTAGCATAGTGCCTGGCACATAGTAGGCATTTAACAAATATTTGTTTCTTCCTATAGATGAAGAAACTGAGATCCAAACAAGTGATATGACTTGGCCAAGGTCACACAGGTAGTAAATGGTAGTGCTAGGATTTGAACCCAAGTCCAGTAATGCCAAAGTCAGAACTCTAGTAAAGCATTTTTTTATTCCACCACAAAGTTTCCAATCTCAAGGAGACTCAGAGCTGTTAGGATTTACTCCTGAGGATGGAGGTTTTCTTCCTGGTCCATCCCACCTCCTCCCTCATCCCCCTCACCCCCGGTGCCCCTCAGACCATACTAAAACCATCTCAGAACAACAATTCATCATGTCCCAAGGAAGGACATTCCACAGCCCCCTGACCTCAACCACATGTCCCTGTGACTCAGCCCCCGAACCACCAAGAAGCATTTCATCTCAGTTTGTTTCATCTTCAGGGCTCAGCAAAGGGATGGGTGAGTGGAAGAGGAGAGAGAGAGAAATGAACAAGAGAAGGTAAGAGAAAGCAAAAGGGAGGAGACTAGGAATTGATCACAGGAGAGGGGAATCAAGAGACGTCAGGGGAGGAAGCGACAACCAAAAGAAAGAATAGTCCCCCTGTGCATAGCAGACACTTCCTATGTAGTCTAATTGTCTGATGGTTGTGACTTACTGTCTTCATGCCCACAATGGATTTCTCCACCTTGGTAACATAGGTGACATGGTCCTCATTGGATTTCAGTTCTTTTTGTTGGATCCTTTCATAGATGCCCACCACCAGCTCTCGGGGTATGTCAGCTCCATCGTCTACACCTATCAAATAAGATATAACAGAGCTGACAAACTAGGCAAAAAGGGCAACCTTTGATAAGGATTATCTTCTCCTCAACCAGGGCAAGGGGCTTTGTCATGGTGGAAGGCAGGGAAGGCCTACGTTGGCTACTGTCACTGAATTCCCAGAAAGCATAAAGGACAATGGCATCATTCCTCCTATAACGCATCTCCCTCCCCTGGAAGATGGCATGCCTTTAGGTACTGCTTCCTCCCATAAAACCTTGCCTTACGCTTTCTTTAGCTAAAACATGATGGTTCTAAAGTCAGCCAGACTGATTGGCTTTGTTCTTGTCCTTGATCTGAAAGAAATCAAGCTTTGAGCAAGGAAGAAAAAGGAGAGTGAACACATGCCCCAATTCTAGCATGCTGTCGGTAGACTTCTTTTGTTCCTTACCACTGATTCTGTGGTTCAATGACAGTTGAGAAGAGTTAGGTCTGGGAGACTTCATGAAATTATCTGTTAGCTGGCTTAAATGAGATGGGATTTGGGACTTGGTGGCACTCAGAGTCACAGAATATTAGAGGGGGAAGGGAACTTCAGAGATTTCAGTTCAACTCCTTTATTTTATTGATTTTTTTTTTAGGCAATTGGGGTTAAGTGACTTGCCCAGGGTCACACAGCTAGTAAGTGTTAAGTGTTTGGTCTGAGGCTGGATTTGAACTCAGGTCCTCCTGACTTCAGGGCTGGTGCTCTATCCACTGTGCCACCTAGCTGCCCCTCCCAACTCCTTTATTTTAAAGGAAGGAAACTGAAGCCTAGAGAGGTAGAATGATTTGTCCAAAGTGTAAAATATAGTGGGGAATTAGGAGAATCTCAGTCTACCTTGACAAAGGTCAGCTGGAATGGAGGGCATGGGAAGGGTGGGAGACGTGTGTCCGATGGCATGTTGTGGAAATCTGTACCTCATGAGGTCAGGAAGATGGCCCTTGGAAATTATGGTTAAGGATCTGGCAGCAGAAAGATTTTCTCAGGCTGCTTCAGGGAGGTAGCCGCAGTATTGTCCAGTGGAAGGGGAAGAGGCCAGGAGACCCAGTGCCTGTACTCACTCGGGGAAGGTCATACTCAAGGCATACCCTTTCCTGTAGCAACCCTCAACCATTCACTTGGAGTTAACAGTACTAGCGCTTATGGAACAGGGTTAAAACAATAACCTCCCTGCTATCCTCTTACCTCTCAGGTTCCGGATGAAATCCTCCAGCATCATCTTCCGGTCAGGCTTGATATTGGGACTGTACATGTCCGTGTTGAGGAGGATGATGGCAAAGGCCAGGATGAAAATGGTGTCAGGGTTGTGGAACTGCTGCACTACCTCAGGATTGCACATGCAATAGCGCTGGCTTGGAGAAACATATAGAACACGCCCATTCAGACTTCCCATCCTCCTCTTTCTCCTTAAGCTACAGCAGGAGAGTATAGGGTACATGTGTATGAGAACTTTCCAAAAGTGAGATAGGAGCCCCAGGTCTTTAGATGTAGGATAGATTCTCATCTTATCCTCAAAAACTTTGACTGTTATCTCTGTTAACAGTCAAAGGCATACGTGTATGTTTATATACATCTATGTATAGAATAAGTGACATACAATGCATACACGTATAACCATGCCTGTCTATATGTATTATGTCTGTATCTACTGTGTATGTGAGTACTTGCCTGTTTACATGTATATGTGTGTGCATATACATGTGTGCATATGCATGTGTATATGAGTCAATGTCCATTTAAATGTACATGTGGATAGATTGCTTGGTTAATCGTTAATTGTTAGTTATCCTCTCTTATGTTGCTTTTGTCTCCCTAACTAGATGATATTCTTTAGGATGGAGGGACCATTTCTTATATTCCTTGACATGCCCCACAGTACAGCCTTTATGCCTTTGCTCATACTGCTATCTAGGTGTGGAATGTCATTCTCGCTCTTCTGCTGAATCCTCATCCATCCTTTCAAGTGTGATTTAAATAAATGGCACCTCCACCTAGAAACATTCCCTGAATTGTTCTAATTGATAGAAATGGTAGATCTATGTTTGTATCTCTCTAATGCACTTATAGTGTAATGTTGCATGTCATTAGTGTCTGTGTTGGTACCTTATCTCCCTACTAGATTTTTTGTTGTTGTCCAGTTGTTTCAGTCATGTCTGACTATTCATGACTCTATTTGGGGTTTTCTTGGCAAAGGTACTGGAGTGGTTTGCCATTTCCTTCTCCAGCTCATTTTACAGATGAGGAAACTGAGACAAACATGGTTAAGTGACTTACCTAGGGTCTCACAGCTAGTAAATGTCTGAGGCCAGGTTTGAACTCAGGTCTTCCTGACTCCAGGTCTGGCACTCTGTCCACTGTGCCATCTAGATTATAAGCCCCATGAGGACAAGAATCTCATCTTATCTAAACTTCATCTCTCCCTCAATCCCCAACACAGTGCTCTGCGTGGAGTTAGTGTTTTAATAAACATTTAGTGTTTTGGCCTTGCCCCAATAGGCAGTCAGCAAAACCTTGATGATTGGCTGACTGGTTGCCATGGATGAGCCCTGAGGGATGGGAAGTGGAGAAGGTCTTGGTGATACTCCCCCTCCCCCATTCCCAAGGTACAACTATTATAGACATTGACCTTTTCTCACTCTTTCCCTACTGTCCCCAATTGTTGGCTCATTTCTCATTGTCTGAGGCTCTTCCCCCTCATCCCCTCCCCCAGGTTTTCCTTCTCAGAGATTGTGGGAGTTAGATAGGATTTGGGGTCAGCGCTCAAGGCCGCTCCTACCTGAAAGCTTCGATGAGCCGCTCCACCTTCTGGGCCTCACCTTGGACCCGGATATGGGCCTGGAATTTCCTCAGAGCTTCATCTAATTCCATGTTGGAAAAGTCCATTTCATCCACCACACAGCTTGAGAAAATTGGTAGGGGGTAGAGATAGGATAGGAAAAGGAGAAGGTCAGAACAGGTTCTATCCTGCAAAACTTCTCAACATCAAAGGGAAGTTAAGAACCAGAAGAGCATTCCATCCACGTGGAACACAGATCAACCTCTCCTGTCACTATGTACAAACCCTATCCCAGTTGATAGGAGTTAGCTTTTATAGCCTATACATGGTGGGTTAGGAAAAAGAAGGGAGAGGGTGAATCTAAGGTCTACAATCTAATCTCTTTCATCACTCACTGTGACCCCATCATCCTCTCCAGTTGTTATTCCAAAGCCAAACAGAAATTAGTCAATAAGCATGAAGACACTGGACTAAGCCTCCAAAGAATTAATCAACAAGCATTTATTAAGTGCCTATATGCCAAGTGCTATGTTAGATGATGGGCATATTGAGAGGAAACAGTCGTCCTAGAATCACAGAATGCCATAACCAGAAATGTCCTAAGTGGAAACAAGATTTACATTTAGAGTTAGAGTCAGATAACCAGGATTCAAATCCTAGCTCTTCTATTTATTGCTGTATGAGCATAGCCAAGTTACTCAATTGCCCACTCCTCAAGGTCCCTCACTTATGAAAATAGCACCAATAGCACCTGTTGTACCCGCTTCACCATGTTGTTGTAAAGATCAAGTTTGATAACGTACGTAAAATGCTTTGTTAACCTTATAGTGCTATTTAAATGTTAGCTATTATTATTAAAAGGATTGGACTAGATGTCTAAGGTCCACTTCTAAATTCTGTAAGCCTAGTTCACTTTACAGATGAGGAAACTGAGGCTCAGAGACTGGATAGTATTTGCACTGGCGTAAACATCACATTAGTGGCAGAGCCAAGACTGGACCTAGAGATTCTAACCTGACTGTTATCTTCAGGTGTTCAAAGAGCTGTTACGTGTTGGCATGAAATGGAATGAAACTTGTTTGGTCTGACCCCAGGCAGTAGAACAAGGAACAGTGGGTATAAGTTGCAGAGTGAGGTTTGAGGTCAGCAAAGAAAAACAAAAAACAAAAAGCAAAACCTTTCTGACAATCAGAGCCGTTTCACAGTGGAATGGCGGTGGTGCCCTGGCGGTGGTGATTTCTACCACTCTATAGCAATTGCTATATCCCCATGACTAGAAGTCTTGAAAAGCAGATTGGTTGACCATTTGTCAGGGATGTTAGGCAGGGATTCCAGTTCATGTGCCAGGTGAAGCAGATGACCTCTGAAATTCTGTTGGAACAGCAGAAAGAGGGCTCATTTTGGAATAAGAAGACCTGAATTCAAATCCTGCTCTACTACTTATTAGCTGCATAACCCCTGGTAAGTCATGTCTCTTTCGCTGAGCCCATTTCCTTACCTGTAAAATGGAGATAATAATAGAATGCAATAGTTTTTACCTTATGGAACTACTGTGAAGATTGAACTTGGCAAAACTTAACATGCTATAGAAAGGAATTTTAATGTTGTTAGTCTCTCTATCTGTATCTGCTTATCAGAGGCAGCTAGAATCCCTATAAATTCATAGACAGTGGAAGATTCTGACCCAACAGATGAGACAATGTGGTTTAATGATCTTAATAAAATTTGATATTTCTGGTTAAAAAAAATATAGAGGCAGCTAGGTGATGCAATAGAGTGCTTGACCTAGGGTCGTGAAGACCCAAGTTCAAATGTGACCTTGGACACTTAGTAGCTGTGTAATGGTGGGCAGACATTTAATCTCTCTGCTCCAGTTTCTACATCTCTAAAATGGGGGTAATAATAGCATCTACTTTCCAGGGTTGTTGTGAGGATCAAAAGAGTAAATGTTTATAAAGTGCTTTGCATACCTTAATGTGCATTTATATAAATACTAGTTATTATTATTATTATTATTATTATTATTATTATTATTATTATTCTCTACCGCACCCTGCTTATTTTGACCTGCTCTCTTATTTCTCTCTGGTTTATATTTGGGTTTCCCTTTTATGCCTTGCCCCCTCCCCCCTTACTCACACACAGTGGGCACATTTGAGAACTATGATCAGATCTTGGCCCACACTCGCTCCTCAGTCTTCTGGGTAATACAGGAGGGATTCTTTCCCCTTACCTACAGGGCTTCTGGGCAGGGGCAGCCTTGTAAAGGTAAGTATATCTTCAGGAATTTTCTTGTATATCCCATTTCTCCTGGCGTGATATTCCCTCTTCAGTTCCTTTATGTACCCTTTTTTTCTCCCCTTTCCACCAAATACAAACACACATGTACACATACATGTACACACATACATGTACACCTGCAGTACACATAGGCATACATATACATATACATGAGAAAGGGTAGATTCCTCAGTTCTCTTCCAGTTTTAAATCCTATAATCCTGTGATCTCTAACCCCTCCCCCAACCACTTTAGGGTTCAAGTTCTTTCAGGGAGGGCTCTTTCCACCAGTCTGGGGATGCCCTTGCCCACAGTCTGTTCATCAAGAAAGAAAAATCTAGGTCCCAAGAAGCAAGATGAGCCATCCATGGAGAACTGTTTGTTTGCCTACCTGATTTTTCCTTTCCTTCAACCTGAAGCTGATCACAGGAGCCATTAAAGGTATTTTATGGAGCTGAAGAAGCTCTAAGAGCTGTGTGCTCCTCTCCCCCTCCCTTCCCTTTCCCTCTCTCACTCCAGCCCGCTTTCCCCTCCAATCTTCTTTCCTTTGGTTATTTTTATAGTCCCACATGATTGCCAGTGGCTCTGTCAAGCTAGAAGGAGCTCACTGGTTTGACAAGAAGATATGGCTCTGTGCCAGACTTACCTGTCTTCCATTCCCTGGGATTCACAAGATAACAAAATTTAGTACTGGAAGGGGCCTGGAGACTCATCTAGTCCAACCCTTTTATTTTACAGATGTGTAAACTAAGTCTAGAAGGTTAAGAGACTTGCCTGAGGTCACAGGGCAGTAAGTGTCAGAGCTGTGCCTCGACTCCCTATCTTCTGACTCAAAAATCCATTGTGCTTTCATAAGACTGTTTGCCTCTTTTTCCATGTCAAGCATACCCAGATTTTCTCATTTAACCTAGGTCTTTGTCCAGGAGAGAAAGAAAGAATATTAGGGGCTTGAACCCCTTGAATCTCTGTCAAGTAGCCTATAATTTTGCAAGATTTATAGATTTAGAATTTTAAGGGACCTTGGAGGTCACCTAGCCCAACTCCCTCATTTTATAAATCAGGAAATGGAGAACTTCATCGAACTTATGACTGATCACACACAAGTTGTGGTAGAACAGATTTTTTTGGTATGCAGAACAGCCTACCTTGGACAGGTTCCGAGGTTTAAGGGCTATGTCCTCTGCCTAAGGCAGAGAGCAGAATAAAGTATGGACATGATAAGGAGAAAAGCGATAAGACAAGGACTAAGACAGAGTAACAGGATACAGGAATGGGGATTAGACATAGCTCCACTTGCCACCCCCTGCTATGTGTTAGCTAGTGCTAGCTAACTATCTAAAAGCCTAGTCAGAAAACACTGGTTCTTCTTTGTTCTCAGGTTCCACCTCCTTATACCAGATCTGGAGCTACTCCCCTCTCTGAGGTCTACCTAGCCAAGAGTTCAGATCCAAATGGCTCTCTTGGGCAGAGCACTAGTGTCTTGGAATCACCTTGCCTGTAGAGGGATGTGGCTAAAACAAAGACATTTTCTATTCTCCCAAGTTTCCCTCACAGTGGTGGGGACAAGAATTTTGTCCAAGTATGAAAACTGATGACATATCTCGGTTTTTTGACAAGGAAAAATGGACAGAAAAGGATTCTGGTTACAGCCAAGGAAAGAAATAGGAACAGTTGAGGTTTACTCAGGGTATTGATAGGGATTTAAAGGAAATGGTGATAGGGAGAGGACTTGATCTACAAGTACAACATGGTAAGCAGAGGAACAGAGCTGAAGTACTAAAACTCTACAATCCCCCCCTGAGTAAATCAATTGTTTTTTCAGGACAAGATTGCTGAGCGGAAGGGTACATAAATAAGGAGAGGGGAGAGGATAGAGGGGAATGTGTGGTGGCCCCATAATGAGTCCATAAGTGAACAACAAAGCAATGCTAATTCTATAGTCTTTCAGCAAGAAGAAGGGTGGCAGAAGGGCACCTTCTCTCATGGTGAGAGTTATGTCTCCATGGACAACATCTGCCTCAAGAGAAGGGAAATTTGAAAATTTGAACTCCTATTGGTAGATGGTGCCCAGAAGGCTAGAATTAGAGGGGCACAGGGAGCCAGAGATAGGAGGACACAACCAATAGAAAGGAGATTGATCATGAGAAAGGAAGGTGGCAGAATTGGACCATATGATCTGTGTAATTTTTACCTTGGTATATATACTGAATCTATTAAGATGATGTTCAATAGGCATAATCTGGGTTCAAAAAATCAGATTATCTGAAAAAGATCTGGAAGCCTTAGTGGGCTTCATTAACTTTGCCACATCATCCTGCTGGTTCAAATTAAGCTTGAAGCTCACTGTGTGCCATTTGCCAACAGGAGTTCAAATTTCCCTTCTCTTGAGGCAGGATATTGTCTATGGAGACATAACTCCCACTAGGAGATAAGGTGGCTTTCTGTCACCTTTCTTCTTGCTCAAAGACTATAGAATTAGCATTGCTTTGCTGTTCACCTAGGAACTTGATAATGGGGCCACCACACATTTCCCTCTATCCTCTCCCCTCCCATTTATGTACCCTTCCACTCTATAATCTTGTCCTTCAAAAACAAAAACACCTCCCTATCTTGTACTGGAAAAGCTGATTTTTGAACCCAAATTATGCCTATGAAATATCACCTTATTAGATTCAGCCCAATGCACTAAACTCTTTGGACCCTAACTCTGCCATTCAGTGTGTTAGCTATCCCACCCTGAGAAAGAAGATTCACTTCCTTCGTCCCTTGGAGATAGAGCCTAAGAATCATAGCCATTAACATTAGAAGTGACTTTAGAGAAAACCTAATTTTACATATGGGAA